GAAAATGGGTACGACTTTTTCAAAGAACACTGTGTTACATGAAAAGACTACTTACAGCTATCACAAGAATGCTGGGATATTGGCAAAAGTTGGACCCGGGACGGGACTTGAACCAGCATCTCCCGCTTACCGGGCGGTTACCTGTTACGCTACCGGGGCCTCTTTTGACCTCTCAGCTCAATGGCTATTTGTGCCATAGCCTTCGAGCACTCACACGTTCAACGTGATGAGCCGGTTAGCCGATATCGGCAGTGAACCGCAAGGCTGAAGGCTTTTACATGCTCTGGCTGTTTTAGTTTTGATAACTGCTGTTTAATGCCGCAGTGCGCGCTCCGTAAGTTATCAAAAGAGCGCTGAGATATTGGCAAAAGTCGGAAGCGGGACTCGACTTGACCCGCATATCCCGCTTACCATACTCAGCATTCTTGTGATAACTTACGGAGCGCGCACTGCGGCGTTGAACATCAGTTATCAAAACTAAAACTACATACAGTCGTCAAGCTGTAATTTATGGTGAAGGTTGCCTGATGGGATGTCTGTGAGGTTATTGTTATTACCACGATGCAAATTAAAAATTTCCAGGAAGCCGTCATGGTTCAATTCGATTCACTGTTTCTATGACACATTTACTTTCTTACCATATTCGTGGCGCTTATTTTACATACATATGTGAGTAGTTCTTATCATAAAGGACTGCAGGTTCAGCAGAAAAGCGATGAGGAGGTCAGAATTTCAATGATATGTCGATACACTGTCAACGACAATGGAGCGTACATCTACAAGTGTCGTCAGGAAGGACTTCTTTTCTATGTTCACCGTTCGTTCCAACCTGGTGAGTCTGCAGTACGTGGTCGTTCTCGTTTCGCTTTTACACCTTCAAATCTTCGAAGCTTCCCTTTTGTGGTGCTTCCTATCCGTGCCCACTGTCTCAACTGTTCCAGCTTGTCCAAGGGCGAGCACCACATCTGACACAGAAGGGTTCCAGAACAGAATGCGCTTGTTTGACTTTCCGGAAAAAAGTAAGCCCCTAAGATGTCACTGGAGAAAGGCCGTCGTCTGGAGCGACGCTTTTGCCTCGCATACAAGTGGGTACCAGCTAGCCGATCGAGGTCCCCTTATGGCCTGGGCGAATTCTGTCCCAGAAATGTGTCTGCTCTACGCAATACTCTTCAAGACACAACCTGAGAGCTGTTCTTTTCCGCTCGGTTTTTCCGTGCTCTCGCAGTACTTCGAATGAGTAAACCTCTTTGTAATCGTACTGTATGTTTTCAACCACTGTTTCACTGTGTCCACCCTACCCTGGACTTCGGAGAAAGCCACCCCTCGTTAAATGTACAGGGTGTTTTAAGCCACTATTACTTCCACGCAAGAATTTCATTGAATCACAGAACTGTTTTTGCAGGCAAACCCGCCGCGAACATCGTGTTGGCAGTTGAAGGGCTCCTTATTCTGCTGGTCTACACCTATACGGCACTGATGCGCAGGGACTTCTCGAAGGCGTTTGTCGCTATCGCAATGGCTCCGTTCACATTGCGTGCCGGCGTTCTGCTACTTCACACAGCTATTCTTCACGCGATGGATTTTCCGGATATGAATGTGTAAGTTGGCGACCCTGAATTCCGATGGAAGTGTGCACTGGAAGGAACCTCATGGAGGTGTAGAATAAAGGGGAAAAATCTGAGCAGAATGCTGGTCCTTCACTGGTGGAATATTCGAGGCTTCCGTTGCTATCACCACCACTGCTAGTTGTTGCCCACGCGAATTAAGTGGGACATTCTGGAAAAGACAGCATGGGGCAGAGTGCCTCCACCGTCAAGCGGAGGTTTGGAGAATACGGCCTCAAGCTGCAATATAAGAAATTATGCTGACATCGCAATGGGCGAATCTAGATACCGCCCCAGATTATTGCCTGTGTGGTGCTACCACTGTATTGGTATCGCGGATGAACTACTTGTTTTCTTACATGAAGTTTTTATTTGACCGTTCACAACTTGAGGATACATGGACTGCGCGAAGCCGAGCGGGTCCTCGAGACCACCGGATGTTTTTCCTTTACCGTTGGATCCACGATATTTTCTGGTATGACCGTCCATACAGTACGAAAAAGGAAAGCGCCTGATAGTTGGCGAAGCACAAGGTGACCAGAACGTTTCATATTTTACGGCCTCGCTTTTCTGATGCATCTTTACATAAAGTATTGCTTTTTAGCCTTCCCTATCTACTTGTCTTGTTTCTCGTCTTTATTGTGGCGACTCTTGAAGTGTTTCCACCAACAATCTCCACCTTTGACTACTCCACTATATCACCATTACTATTTCTCGCCATGTTGTCCTTGTCGACAATTATTATTGCTGGACTCTTTGTTGCAGTAAGTTTTATGAGAAGCGTGAATGCGCTTAGATGCACGGGCGCTGAATATCTGTCCTACTTCACTGAAGTTGGTTACCTCCAAGCATTATATTAGTACTTGTTCCCAATGAGGTTATTTACTTATGATTGATAATAGCTGCTATTTTGCGCTACCAGGAGCGCTCCTAAAGTCGCAGCATATCAGTTGTGTGGGTAATGTAAGGCTACGACGCACAAGCTGTCAAGCTGATCGGGTATCAGCGCCCCGGAGGTGTACCGTGGCGTACTCTCGTGGTAACCGTGCGACGCGGTTTTGATATCGCTTGATGTGGGAGCTCTCAGTTACTTTGAAATAGTGTACTAGATATGTAATTTGCTGAAACCATTTCATTCCACATTCTCCTCTTTTGTGGAAGGTTCATCACTTGAGGTCCTTTCAGTCGAAGCAACCACCTTATAGCGGAATATCAGTACAGAAATTATGAAGTCCAAGCCGCAATGGTCATCATGCACCAGCACCTTGAGTCACGTGAAATCAATTGGGTCAGGATCCCTAGGCAGAGCTCGAAGTAACCAGACCCGCAGCATGATTTTCTAAAAAAAGAGAAAAAGTGAACGGCATATAATAAAGCGCAAGACGAGAGTTCCTTTCGTTTTCCATTGAGTGGGAGTGCTGCCTTGAGCCAACTATATACTTCTACATGTCATGCACAAAATGTTGCATTAATGTTGTCGACGGTAAATGCTCCATTGTGAACAAGTGTTCGGAATTATTTCGATGAATGTACCTCCGATCATTTCATTTAGATGTGCATCGTTAGCGCAGTCCGTTCAAATACCAAACATAGCACAAGTTCTAGCGATCCTGTGATTGTACATGCTCTTTGTCGAATGTTCTGGACGATACCGCTGATGATTTTGGCATGCCTCGCTTCACTAATTGATCTGAGTAAGTATCTTCTGCCATGCCCCATTTTGCCGGAAAGAGTAAGGTTTGCAACTAATACAAATACAGTCATGATCCTTGCAAACGGGACGGGGCGTGGATTGAAGCACTAGCAACCGTCTTTTCTACGAATGAGCTCATGCCCCTCACCTCTCCTTCCCTTGGCAAGGATCATGACTACAGAAACTAATAAATGAGCAATCGGACAGATGACCAGTTTGATCAAGTGTAAAACAATTCTGCAGACTCTTACAACTAAACAGCCTGCGTGCAAGGAAGGCATAGCAGCTATAATTTTGACGCATTACTTAGTGTGTTTCACTGGCAGAAAAATTTCCATCATTTCAGTAGGAAACTTGAGCGTCGATCCATACTTCTCAACCATTTCGATGTCAATTCTGCCTCCGATTCTGCTGCTGTCGGTGTTTTTACTGTTGCCTGCGTACAGGTACATATGCACATAATTTCAGTTCAGTCTAGGGTTGAATACTGTAGAGATTGTATATCCCTACGCGTGGGATCCCAGGGAGATTGACTGACTGGCGCCAATTTGGCGCAATCACCCTTTTCGATAAGAACGATCGAAACTGGTATGACGAGATGATTGACACCCTGATAGTAGAAGGACAATCTTTTTCCGACACCAGCACAATTTAGCGCTCTGCTGAGGCTGTGTTTGGGAGGAGAAGTGATTTCCTTCCCGCCTTGGCAGAGCCTAGATGATCAGAGGGTCCTACTTTGAGGCCGGCGCTAAAAGTGAATGTCACGTTCGTGATCAGGACGCCCAAAACCTCGCATCCAAATTTTCATCGATTTTGGTGAGAAAGGTATGGCGTCGAATCTGCGCGCCAAATCGCGCCAGCAAATCAAACTAGAAACGAGCGTGATATTTTTTGTCAGGATGTGAAATCACCACCTTTTGCGTTTTCTTCGATAGTGGTGTGAAAAAAAGTTGACGCACAATAGCCCCAGCAATAGAAGTGCGAACACATGTCGATTGATAGGCACTGAATACCCTCTGAGGGCCATATTTTAGCAAAATTTTATGAGTGTTCGGAGAGTCATAGTGGAATAGTGCCGAAAGAAGTCCAGCATGATCAAGTCGGGGGCGAGTTCAGCGAAGGGTATGTTGCAAATGATGTTGGATGCTCGCAGCAGTGTCCATTTGCTTAAACGTGGCAGTGGTACAACATTCCAAACGTGGCAGTGGTACAACATTCAGTTAGATGAAAAGGCACTATTTACCCTTTACTGCCCCAGCCATCCGAAATCAGGCCAGTTCCTGACCGACTTTTTTCTCCGTGGGCAGAATTTGCTGAAAACTTGGCTCCAGGGGTAGTTCGACCCGCTGAACACGAATATCGCATCCGCTCCACAGGTCAGGCGCAAAATACTTGAAATTAACAATTCGCTGAAAACTTGCCTCGCTAGGGGTAGTTGGACTCGCCTGAAACACGAATATTCATGACATGGCCGCTCAACCCGAAACCTCCTTGGCGCCCGCACCACGGGCGCCGGCGCCAAAATACCCCAAATCATTGGCGCCTGTGGCGCGGGCGCCAGGAAGTTTCGGGCTGAGCGAATGTGATATTCGTATTCTGGAGGTCAAACTACCCCAGGAGACAACATTTGAGCAAAATCTGCCCACGGAGAAAAAAGTCGGTCAGGAACTGGCCTGATTTCGGATGACTGGGGCAGTAAAGGGTAAATAGTGCCGATGGAAAATATACAGTCAGTTGAGGGCCATACCGCAATCCGCATGTCTTGGATTACTTCGGGATCCATATCAAACTCATCTAGCAACCAAGGATTAGCGGATTGTGAGACTATGAGAACTTCATGGTCTGCTTTCGAGGACAGAACCAGCATTCGTTGATGCTCCATCCTTTTTTGGATATCGTAGCCCTCTTCACAAGTGCAGACATGTACTTATTCTGCAGCCCAAAAACACGAAAGGATAGTGCCACTCGCTTGTGAGGAGACTGCGGCCCCACCCACTGATTGCCACAATGCCCAACGTTCGTTTAAACTGCTACCTGATGGCGAGATTGCTGCATCTTTAATTTACTCCCCTTCGAATGGTGAGAGTGAGGTGATAATGGGAAAGAGCGGGCATCAGCAAGTGAAATATCGTCCGACCACGCTCTTTCTTTTCACTGGAAACGTACAACCTCAGTTTCACCACGACCTACATATACAGAACATTTCCCATAATTTTCTCCTTTTTTTTTTCCCCTACTGAATTACTTGCTCGTTGTATCTATAAGTCATTTTTCTTGAGCGCGCACTCAGCATTTGGAGAACAATCTGTTTCAGGACGGCTCTTTTTTGTTGCTTCGCGAATAATCGACACCGGAACAGAGTCATGCCATTAAGAATTGTCGTCCGTCCTTTTTCACAACGTGCAGATTCTTCTTAGTAGCCTGTGTGTAACTTATAATTGCTTTATTGTTATATCTTAGTTCCAGAAGATGGCTTATCAGGCAAACACCCTTTTTCATGT